GGGATTCATCACCAGGGCACGTGTCGTTTCCTCCGATCCGGTTCGGTCCGATGTCGACGGCTTCCGATTCAGAGTCGCTTCGGTCTCGGATGCCGATTTCTCAGGAGTGCCTGCTGGTTTCCACCGATTCGACTTCTCCGGACTCGGCTGCCGATTTCCGCCCATCCGATTCATTTCGAGCGCCGATCCGACTTATCGGTTCGATGTTGGGGCTCTCTTGATGCCAGGGGGGGATCACCTTTCAGTGGGGTCTCCAGTTCCTCGTGGACATCGGGGTGCCAGGGTCGACGCTCGAGGAGGCCGTTGCACGTTTTGGGTCGCTTGGGGGGGAGGAGGAGGAGGAGGAGGAGGAGGAGGAGGAGGAGGAGGAGGAGGAGGAGGAGGAGGAGTCTCTGGATTGTCAGGGGGGCCCACCTCCTCCAGAAAAAAACGCCGCTTCCTCGAGGCAGCGGCGATCCCCCGGGGTGGTGGCCCCCCCTTAGCGTTGCCCCCACAGGCTGGGGATCCTCGCTATGGGAAGTGGGGGGGAAGACAGAACCCAGAAAATATGGGACATACACCAGGAAGCTTAGGTTTTCGGCCAGAGTCTCGATTATTCTTAACGTTTCAATGTAAATCCTATGAATTTAGTAGAAGTTCTGGGTTTCTATTCAAATTCTGAGACTATGAATTTCTTAACCCATGATTTCTGAAGCATTTCGCAGGGTGCATGAGGAATACGGTTACGTACTTGTGTCTATTTATTTGTGTGTCCCAGGGCCCCTTGACAGTGGTCAGCAGGATGGACCCTGGGCTCGGGTGCAGCTCCTGGGAGGACAAGTTCCGACTTTGCCCTGGTCCCAAGTCGGGCTCCCGCTGAGTCCCGCTGAGTCTGGCCTAGTCCCGCTGAGTCTGGCCTAGTCCCGCTCAGACCGCGGCCTACTCCAGCGTACAGTCAACCCGGAGAGCAAGGATGGGTGACCTTCCTAAGGGTACCCTCGCATCCTTGCCTCTTCGGTCTATCCTTGACCACTTCCGTTGGCCGCGCCCCTCTCGGGAAGCTTGGAAATGGGCATCCAAGTCCCTTGCATCCTGGTCCCGCATCCTTACTACACGGGTCGACTGTAGCAGCCCCCCAAGGGAACTCAATCCTCGCCAATCCTTCCGACGGAGGCCTCCCAGCAGTTGCCAGTTGCCTCCTCGCCTGGGAGGGGTTCGGGGGCCGATGTCGCGCGGAGCGGGGGCCGGGCGGGAGCGCCACCGCTGTTGCAACTGGCCCTCCGAGGGTCGGGGCTCGAGGATCGAGGCCTCTGGGCATGTGGGCGCTCTTGGGGCCTGCTGCAGCGTCCTCGTCGCGACGTCTGAATTCAGGAGCGACAGAAGGACGTACACGTACATTAATCCGCGTTGGTTTCGAGAGTATGCATTGCGCGAATGTTCGTATCACGCGGACGGTCTCGCGGATCGAGTGGCCGTGTTCATGTACATGGTTGGGCGCGTACGTCTTTTGTGGGCTCCCTATGAATGCCCGCCGAAGTTGTTGTTGGTCAGAGCACGCCTCTCGAGAGAGGTCCTCCGAGTCTTCTCTCCCCTTGCCGGGCGGGTGGTAATTTGGGGATGACGCGATTCAATGCGGGGCGGAAAAACGGGCCCCCAAAGGGCCCCTCTTGGGGCCAGCAGGGGCCCTGAAGGGGCCCTTCAGTGTCCTTTTCTTCACCCCCCCAGTCAAGTCACCCCCCCTTACCACCCGCCCAATCTTGTGAGTTGTGTTCGGGCACGCTCCCACCTCCAGGAATGGATAAGTCCATGCGTTTGTATGAGTGGTGTATACGTGGTTTATTTGTTTTGCATAAGTGTTGTACATGTTGTATATGTGTTGCACCTGTGCTGCATATATTTTGTGAGCGTGTAATACAGATACGTACATGGTTTGTAAATATTAGAAAGTGTTGTAATGTTTTTTGGTACATGCCCATCTATGCGTGGAGCATGCTTCGAAATGTTTGCACACGTTTTGTACATGTCGTGTATGTGGTTTGCCTGTGTGTTGTGTATGTTGTGTGTTTGTTGCGTACCTGCGTTGTATCTGAGTTGTCAATGTTTTGTAGATGGTATTCATGCGTGCTGCATCCGTGTTGCATGAGTGTTGTACATGGCTTGTGCATATTGTGTAGTTGGTTGGTATACGTGTTGTATGTGTCGTATGTGGGATGTGTGTTTGTTTTGTATACGGCTTCTACATGGTATGTGTGTGCTATGTGTGTTGCTTATATATTGGGCACAAATGTCCTATATGGTATGTGTTGTACTGCAGCTGTTGCAGGCGTTTTCGTAATGTTCTGCATGTGTGTTGCAAGTGTGTTGCATATGTGTTGTGCAAGTTGTGTATATATCTCTCTCTCTCTCTCTCTCTCTTCTGTGTGTCCGATATATGTTTGCTAGGTGTTTGTGCAGGTGGTCTACATGCGTTAGATATGATGCCTAAATGGTTTATGTATGCTTTTACTTGTTCACTACCTGT